ATCGGCTGCTGCCAAGAACAAATGAAAGAAAAAGTGCGATGCCGAAGATATCGCTGTTGGCGCGGCGGCTATAAATATTCGCGCTTTCTTGCTGCGCTCACGCGTGACAACGCAACAAGGGCTGCTAACAGCCTGAATTCGAAGAAGATCAAACAGTACTGGAGCTTTTTGTTTTCCAAATGCTGCTTAAATGTCTCTCCTCTGCCTGTTTAATTAATGTATTTAAGGAATACATTGGCATTTCATAGAGCATTATTTTAATTTGAGCGTTCTCCGAAGGTGGAAAACCAATGCCAGGGTTCCTTTTTAATTTATAAATATACTAGCCATTTTACTGCCACATATTTTATGAATGAAAGCTTTTTCACTAAGGTGTCATCATTATTATACAAGGAAAAAAGAACATCATAAAGAACTGTCTCTTTTAGGTTTGTCTCAAAGCTTTCTTATTCTTAACTTAATATGCCTACAATAAATTATAGTGATCTGAAGCATGCCACAACAATCTGACTCTGCATGTAAAAAGTTCAACCTTCCACCGAATGTGAATTGTTCCTGTAGAAATTTCACGGCGTAGCTCCCTTCACATGAAAAGTAGGACCAACATAGTGGCCAGCGTCAATTGCAGTCATGTTTCCAGACGAGAGTTAGCGATGGTTCCAACTCACGATAGGCACAACGAGCAGATGAAAAGGCGCCTTCTGCTAGCTATGCTTTGAAGAAATAACGTCACAGTTTACAACCATTGCCTACTCTGTCGTCTACAAAAAGGTCAACCGCTGACCCTGGCAAGTTGGTCTAATTTTTTTTACTGAAAGGAGGCGAAATCCTTCAGTAAAAAACTGCCACATATTTTATGAATGGAAGTTTTTTCACTAACGTGTCATTTTTTTACACAAGAAAAAAAAGAACATCGAAAAGAGCTGTTTCTTGGTAGGTTTGTTTCAAAGGTTCCTTATTCTTTAATTGATATATAGGTTGCCTACAATAAAATTTAGTGCTCTGAAACGTGACAAAAAATCTGACTTTGCATGTAAAAAGCTCCAGGTTCCACCGAATGTGAATTTTTCTTGACCAACATAGTGGCCAGTGTCAATTACAGTCATGTTTGCCGACGAGACTTAACGATTGTTACAACCAACGATAGCCACAACGAGCAGATATAAAAGCGCCTTCTGCTGGCTGTGCTTCAAGAAATAACGTCACGGTTTACAACCATTGCCTACTCTGTTGTCTACAATAAGATCAACCGCTGGCCCTGGCAAGTTGGTCTCATTTTTTACAGAAAAGTGGCGAAATCCTTACAATTTTAACAGGTAACATGCACATTCGGTAAAAGCTTAAGCTTTTAATGTGCAGGCGTAAATTTGCCCGGCTCGTTCCGCAGCACAAAGAGCAATTGAACACACTTATATATGCAAGTCATGTTAAACTTTGGAAAGCACTTTAGTGCCAAGGGGGCAGTATTTTCTTTTTTATACTTTCTTGTTATGTGAAATTGCTTTTATTTCCTCTATTATGTAATTCCAGAATAAATATATTTTTATAAATGAAATTGCTAATTTTTGTATACAGATTGCTGGTGCAACTTTTTTCGTAAAACAGTGAGGTTGGCTGTTAAAACCTGTCTCTAAATTCTACGAGTGTTTCCCGAATATTTTCAGTCTTCGCGGGCATCATTACCATTTAGATCGGGGTAGGACATGATGCTGCTCGTTTGAAAACACAGGGTTGTTGTTTCCAAATAAATGTGTGCGGCTTTTCAGATGTACTGCAATATTTTCACCTTTTAGCTATGAACGGGAGTAAAAGGTCTGCGGTGTTGAATACCTTCCCATTCTAAAAAGACGGTTTGCGCAACTTTTCAGAAGAGATACTTCTTCAGACAAGTTGCACAATCTGCCTTTTCAGAACAAGAAGCCATTTAATGCCGCAAACCTTTCACTCCTATTCACAGCTTAAGGGTCTCACCACTAGAAAAATTGTCTCAAAATGTGTAAAATTTGTCCACAAAGGGATGAAAGTTACTGTCTTTTCACTATAATATTCATCTCTAAAAGTGTCGAAATTGATTCTCAAAGGGCGATATTTGTCCCTCGATACTAAAAATTCATCCACAAAGGTACGAAAGTTACTTCCTCGCTACTATAAAAATAAACTCTAAAGGTGTCAAAATTGATCCTTAAAGGGACGACGATTACTCCCATAAATTCTACAAAATTCGTCCTTAAAAGTGTCAATAATTGGTCCTCAAAAGGACGAAAGTTGCTCCACCGTCACTCTAAATATCATCCCTTTAAATGGCAAAATGAATCCCCAATCATATTACTGTTGATCATTAAAGAGATCAAAGTTACTCCCCCGATTGTTGACACGACGGCGCTAGGGGAACCGTAATTAATCCCCTGAAAAGTCAAACTTAGACCCTGATGTCCTGCTGTAGAGATGAAAAACACTGTTTTAACTGTTCAAAACTTGGATCTAAAGGGATCAATGCCAAGGGACTAAAAGAAAAGGGAGGGACTAAACCGGGGTTTCGCCCTTTTAGGGGGATCACTCTCAGCTACATCAATTTAGTCCAATAAAAGAACAAGTACTACTCCTTTATTAAAGATTGTAGAAGTTCTTTTCACTAAGCTGTAACGAGTCAAGCTACAAGTTACTGAAAAAGTAACTACTTACCGCAATAAGATAAGCTGGCGAACTATTGCATTGCATTGTGCTGTATTGCACTTTATTTCACAGTGCCGCCCGGTGTGCAGGTATTCAGGGAAAGGAATTCGCCCATACACCTTTTGTTCCCCTGACAACGACCGGGCGGCTGAGACAAGGGAGGAAGAACGAGGCAGCGCCCTTCCTGTGTACCTCGTCCTTCCTTCTTTGTTGTTTTGGACTATTTTATTCATAACTAGTTACGGGCACCGCGTTTCTAGTAACTACTGCCCAAGAACAGCTAGCACAACAGAGGTAGGTATCGCTTTGATCGCGTACTCGTTGCACAAAAACAAGGCATGGACGAGAACGGCCATCACGTCACCTCCGCTTAGCGGCTGATTTCCAGTGTTTACGTCGCCTCGAGTGGCTGGCTCCGGTTTTGTCGACCACGCCCGAAACAAAACTTTGAGGCGTCTATATCTTTAAAGGCGCGTTCACACAGGCGATGCTATGTAGCCGCGCGATAACTTCCATCGCAAAAAAATACCATCGCGGGGAAAAAACGACGTGATTCGAGCAGCCTCTAGTGGATCCGACTTTTTGCGATGCGACCTAGTCTCTTAGCGTCTGAGCCAAACCTAAGAGTTCGGAGCGAGAGTTTTCAAGAAGCAACGATGCGCAACTCGCTCATCGTGAGATCCTATGCGACCATCTCATTTTTTTGCGACGCGATTTAGTCGCATCGCGCGACTGCTTAATATCGCCGATGTGAACGCGCCTTAAAACTACGCGCACTACCCAGAAAAAAAATTACACCTTGTAATTCATGGCCGCCGACTGCGCTAACAAGAGTCGTTATCTTAAAATCGAAACTATAAACCACAAGTGTCCTTTAAAAGCTAATCGCGTTAAAATATACCACGAAGCACACCCCCAAACCTGAAAAAAATAAAAAACGACAGAACGAAACGAAAGAAAAACTATACCGCATCCTGCGTGGAAGAGTTCTTTTCTCAGGTGGACACAATGGGCTGCACGGTTATTTTATACATATCATGCGCGGATATATAATACACAGAAATTACAAATAAGCTTTCAACGAAAACGTTTCTCGGATTTAGGTACGATGGACGTCCTTCTTTTCAAATAAGTAATACGACTCGTAGTGAGCTCACACTATCGGCCATTGTCGTGGCGTTGTTGCTGATAGCGTTCTTCCTGCAGCATGCAATTTGCACCGTCAAAAGTGTTTTATTGAAAAGAACAAGTGTAAATGATTCCAGCAGGCACGCAGCCCCAAAATTTTGTTTCGGGGGGGGGGGGGGGGGGGGGGGGGGGGGGCGTCCATGACAAAGAGCTGCATAAGGGTGAGGGGTGAGAGGAGGCCCCAGCAAAATGGGAGCTTTTGGGGGTGGGGGAGAGAGGCCGGGCCCCATGCCCCCCCCCCCCCCCCCCCCTGGTTACATGCGTGGATACCAGCATGGGTGCGGTGACGTCGCGTCCAAGCTATATATAGAGTGGTACAAACGGCACTTCATTCGTGTTTTGTGCATGTTTCAACTCTTAAGGCGCATTTGCAAATAAGATAATTGCGCGAAATCTGGAACATGGTAAATTTGTTCCACGCCATTTTTTTCGAAAACATAAGGGGAAATATTTGACAAAACCATGAGCTTTTTTTTTTTTTTTTTAATAGTTTTTGCCGAATAAATGCCTCACGCTTGGTTTGTTTAGCGGCAGGGAACTACTTTTTGTGTTCCAAATGTCGCGCGATTTTCGGTTTGTTTTTCGAACTTACATTTCAATCTTGAGAGTTAACGTACCCCCAAGGCAGTTTTTTTTTCTTTTTTTTTTGAAGACTGGACTATTTATTGTATTTGTTATATGTTTAAATGAAAAATAAACTGCTGCACGTCCATTGTGACCTTCTCAAGTGTAAACAACTGGGAACAAAGTTGTCACACGTATAAGACACGCGGCGCCTACGGCTTTCAGATGTCTTGCTTCTATATTTTCTGGATGAAAGACCTGTCCTTTTCATTCTTGCCCTTTATCAATATTTTCCTGCCGTATTTCGAAGACCCGGCTGTTATTTGTACAACAATCGTGTGATCTTAGACTCTCATGAGAACCTGCAACCTTATCGGAGAAAAGGCATACCAAAAGAAGAAACATATATAACGATGACATTCAAGTGCGTGAGGCGTCGTCAAAAATCAAAGGTAACGAACGAGAAACTTTTTGTTTTGTTTTGTTTTAGTCGAAGGGTGCCAAATAATAAATACGTATATATACGGCCGGAAAACTGTCTTGGTTATAACGTTGAGGGAAAGAAAACTGTGATCATGGTTCTGCTGAAAGTATTCCTCGTGCTTTGCTTCGTGGTGTATGGTAAGTCTTTTGCCCGAGCTACACCACCAACTTCTTTTTTTTTTCTATCTGTGCCTTACTCCGGTTTCTCAAGGAGGAAACTGAAACCTTGTGTGTCACTTGATGCGTACACCGGTTTCGACAATCAGTATTTAGAACTTATTGTCTCTCAAGGACCATAACCTATGGTGTTTTCATCTCAATTCATGCACGGTTTTTGTGTCGAATAATCATTTTCCCCCCAAAACTATATTTTGGGAAGCATTGTTGAAATGAAAGAGAGCGCGAACAGCAAGCTTGGCGGATTGTTTTGTTTTGGAGTTTCCAACCATTGAGATGACTGCGGAAAAAACGGACGTTTCCTCCACTTGTAGGGGATCGCATGTTTGACCGCTCGCTATTTCCTAAGTTCTCGAAACACAGCACTGGGACCCTTTTGTAACATTCCTGAAGTAGCTTTCATTACTCCTAAGATTATAAAAAAATATTTTATAGGTTTTAATAACTTTTCAGTGACGTTGAACTGTGTTCCCTTGACGATTTTTGGCAAATTAATAAAATGCAATATTTTATAGTCCTTATTGTATGTTAATATAATATGTTACACACATTTGAAGTAAGAAATGTCTCGAAAATCTAGCAAATTCCGGATCGATTTTGTAAAAAAAAAATTAATTTGGTTGTTCCCCTATCTTTTACTAGTAGCAAGGTTCAATTGCGATGGATGAGCAAATATTTAAAAAAATATCTATAGTATTTTGTATATATTTCCGCAATTAAAACGTTATTCTTGTTGTATATGCGCTGTTAAATGGCAATTTTTTTATTGCGCAGTAAATAACCTTTTAGTGTGAATTCCGGACAATTTCACTTGTTTTTTAGTGTTACGCGTTAATTGAAATACTGATATTAGGTAATTATACCACGCCACAATGCTGGGCAGAGTAGCACCTATGCCAGAACGCTGTCACGACGATCAGATATTAGGGGCGATGCTCCTTAGGGTCTAGCCTTGTGCGTGCGGCCGTCCGTCCGCCCGGACGGCGTCCGTGCTCACATGAAAAGAAAAAAATGCTTGCGCAATCGACAGGATTCGAACCTGTGCGGGGAGACCCCAATGGATTTCTAGTCCATCGCCTTAATCACTCGGCCACGAGTGCGAGACGAGGAGGGGGCTCTAAGATGTGGTTGTAACTCAAGAGCTGGGGTTTCTGTCATGGATGAAACGTTGCATGTAGCCGCTGAACGTCTATACAGGAGAGGGCGCTGCGGTCAAATGCATATATAATCGCGTTGAACTTTGCATGCATTGGCTCAAAGTTTATAGACCAGAGGGCGCTGCGGTCAAATGCTCAAATGCGTATATAACCACGTTCCATACCACACATTCTCTTTCTGAAATGGACCGTTAACTTAAGCGGTGGAGATGCGTTCCCACGGCTTCTAGCGGATCCAAGCTGATCCGCTAGAAGAGCCTCTCGCTGTGCATTTCACCGACCATAAAGCAGTAATAATGACGTCGAAACGCAACCCGGAACTCAGCAATACCTATGAGCACTAAAAATATTCAGCACCATCAGCACTACCTATGTGCAATAAAATCAGTATCATCAGCACCACCAGAAAATCGCCCAAATCAACATCATTCACAACGTGGAGATGCGGTCATTTTCTTTTCTTTATTCAAGCCACTACTTAACTCTTTTAGGCCTCAGACGGGGCTTGCGGCACTCTCTTTGCGCGCTATTTTATATCGGACTAAAACGTGAGATTTTACCATTTAAAATTTAGGTTTTAGATTATTAGATTTGCGCAAATTTCTTCAATTGGTTTTGCATCTAATATTAACTGCCGTCAATACTGCAATCGGAACATGACCCATATAACTAAGAATTAAAGTTAACGAACGCAGTCGGCCCAAGTGTATTAATATATACATGAATTAATAAATATATAAATATTAATTAGTCATTATTATTTAAATCTGATTAATTAATTAATTAAATATAAATACATTATTTGTGTAACAAGGAGTCAATTCACTGTACTAGTGGTCACTGCATTGCTTTTATTTATATTTATACCATTGTACCCACTCCCTCTCTAATGCCTTTGGCCTTGAGGGTACATGAAATAAATAAATGAATAAACGGATGCAACAAATGCAAAAAAAAAACTTCCGCACAGGTAACTTTTTCAAACAAAAAATGAACCACAGGCAAAATGAAGAGAACTTACCTTTAAAAATCGCTCATAGAGGCTTACAATTACGCCTACCGTATTTTAGTTTCGCAAACGGCCTGGTGCCCCTACGTTAGCATTAAGCAATCATGTGACGCATTTAGCGCTTAAGGTATGTCTAGTTGGTGATTCATTGCATATAATAGAAGCTAAAAAAAAAATGCACCGACGGACAGGTTAAAGGACAACGAACCTGATGGAGCGGTGGACGCGTTGTTTCCTCTGCCTCGCTTTGGCGAGGAGAGCGCAGTGGCGCAATCAAGTGCGAAGAGGAGGAGGATAAAAACGGAGCAATGACGACACAGTAGCGGGGCACATGTAACATTTCGAAGCGTCACGCAAAGGATGCTTAGAAATACAAAAGTCTAAAGGTAATTTTTGTGAATTAGGAACATAAAACTGAGGCATATTTCCGAGATACATGTTAGTGCTAACCCAATCGTGAGTGACTGTTCACAAAGAGAACAAATAAGGCTCACAAGACTGGAGTAGCCGTTTCATTTTCCAAATACTCCGCTCCAGTAGCTGCACCATGTACAGGTAAATTGATATTCAAAATGGGCATAAAATATTCCAGGCATTTATAGTTTTCAGTCAGACAATATTGAAACATATGTGGCAGGCTATGCTTCCTTATGTATTAAAAACAAATGTCCGTAATAGATTGTGTCATACGATCTAGCCGGTGTTGTGGAATGCTTTGAACAAAAGCGTTTCCAGCGCCCATCGCTTCATTGAAGACAGCCGTGCACATGACTGATGTCGCGCCAATTTATCTTAGTAAATTGATGCAATCGTATAAATGAAGCTACATTAAGCTTTCTTCAAATAACGATTTACTTCTACGATGTTGAAGGATGTGCTGGTGCTTTATTCCTTTACCGTGAGTTTTACGTGCAAACGGAGAGCTACGCTGAGTGGCGTAGCTCGGAAGAATCCTCTTGCAAAGAGCCAGTAGCATGGGCCGACGAAAAGTCCAACGAACATTAGGATACGGAGGGAACGAGCAGGTCACTCGTCGAAGAGGAACCAGATGCTCTTGGCGATGCGTCCGCGTTAGATGTTGAGGCTTCTTTCCTCAGTGGTAGGAATAATGAGTCAATTCTAGAACGCTTGCCCCTTTGGCCAGGCGAATCGGCCGGCTGAAAATATACATTGTATAGTTCTTAAATGTAGATTCCCACTTAGAATAATCTAAATATGCAAATGAATGAACCCTACTGATCGAATGAAATAAGGAATACAAAAGTGCAGAATAGCAAATAAAAAAATGCAATCACTTGGAAAGCACGTCATAAGCATTTTTGAAAACGAAGAAAATATTCCTTACCATTAGTATTCACCACCGCTTCAGATGCAAGAACCGCCGTCCGCCTGTTTTGTGCTCTTTCTTGAACTACCGTTGTTTTCGAACCGTCTGGGTGTCCCTGGTTCTAAGGGGCGACTTGGGCCAGGCAAAGGACCGGAATGAGGCAGGCCGTTGGGAGCCAAGGGCCAAAGGCCTATTTATACAATATTCACTTTGGCGAAGTTAGATTTCAGAGAGCACACACGCCCCAGTAAGTCTGCTCTTTTTAAAGGTTCACATTTGCCTATGTCCCCATGTGAAAACATCTTCCGCCAAAGTCGGCGACAAATGCTTGCACATTTGCAGTTGCAAAAACGTTCAGGCTCCGCCTCAGTAGCTTTTCACAGCTGCACACCTACACGCACACACAGAGACACAAAGCCTCTGAAAGGCACGTCGTGAGCTTCCCCGCTATCGTCGATTGGAGAAGAGGTATTTTAGCAATCCCCGACCGCAAGTGCTTACAGTTTTTGTAAGCCTTCTTTCGACGGGGAAACGAGCCACCGCACTCGAGATCTCATAACTGGGCAGCCAGTTGCACCGGTAGACAATATAAGCTCCTCCGCTTGCCCCACCCATTCTTGCCGCCTTTCATTTTGGGATTATGCCCGCAGGCTACCGTTCTCAGGGAAAAGACGAGACGGTCAGTTGCCTGCCCCGGAATTTCTTCTATTTGTGTCGAATGGACGCCGTTGTACTAAACGAAGATAAGTGCCGTGAGATGGCTGCACCTGCAGCTCTCCGACTGTCAAGCGGGCTGAGCTTTCCTCTTGGAGCTCCAGGGTCAGCTAGTTGTCGCCCGAACACAGGACGATAGCCAGCAAGTCCGCCCTTTTCCTTCCCTTCCTAACCCCCGAGGCTTGAAGAGAATGGCACCCCGCCAGTTATGTTGACATGCTTGACTATAAATAAGTGGGGTTGTCGGGATATCTACAGAGCGTGTAGTCGATCACTATATAAGACTGATATATTTTATCCTCTCGCATGAGCCTACCAAGAATGGCAAATGGTCGTCTTAAAGGGATACTTCAACAAAATTTGAAATATACCCGTCGTGTTCAGAAATAGGCTGAATACACTCTAAAAAAAGTATGTGCGTCTACTTTCACGCACAACGCTTGGGGAGCCAATCAACGCGACTTACGGAGGCTACTCAGCGAATGACGGTGCCGAAACATATGTTTAGACCAAAAAAAGCAGTCTGAGTTGTAACCTTAAGCAATGCAAAACGTCACGCTTGGATTGATTAACGTCACAACTCAGTCTGCGTTTTTTGGTCTAAACAGATGTTTCGACACCGCCATTTGCTGAGCTGCCTCCGTAAGTTGCGCTGATTGGCTCTCCGAGTGTTGCGCGTGAAAGTAGACGTGCAGGCTTTTTATAGAGTGTATGATCCAGGATATCTGTAGCTGACAATCACAAGTTTGTATGCTGAGGCTGATGACTGTATTTTTCGTCAGAAACGGCCCACTCAGGCAAGCGCTAAGAGAACAGCCACCAGAGAGCACGTCACATCACGTCACACGTCGTTAGGATACCCTAATCGTTCAAGTCACCGGAGTAGTCGAAGTACGGCAACGACCGGGCCACCGCAGCTAACCGCAATGCTGCTTTCGTGTGAATTTTGACTGAAGGGTTAAGCGCCGTTCACACGTACGCAACCGACTAGAGGCCCGTTCACACTCTTACGAGCGAGTAAGACCGAGAGAGACCAGACCAGTTTTTAAGCCTCTTGCGACGTCTTAGGACCAGCTCCGCTGCAGCGCATCCGGTCCTAAGACGTCGCAAGAGGCTTAAAAACCGGTCTCGTCTCTCTCGGTCTTACTCGGTCTCATATATGTAAACGGCGCTTAAGGCCGAGAGAGACCAGACCCGTTTTAAGCCTCTTGCGACGTCCTAGGACCATCTCCGCTGCAGCGCATTAGGTCCTAAGATGTCCCTAGAGGATTAAAACGGGTCTGGTCTTTCTCGGTCTGACTCAGTCACACATATGTGAACGGCGCCTAAGACCGAGAGAGACTAGACACGTATTTTAGCCTCTTGCGACGTCTTAGGACCGAATGCGCTGCAGCGGACCTGGTCCTAAGACATCGATAGAGGCTTAAAACCCGGTCTGGTCTTTCTCGGTCTTACTGGGTCGCATTTATGTGAACGTAGCTTAAGACCGAGAGAGACCAGACCAGTTTTTAAGCCTCTTGCGACGTCTTAGGACCAGCTCCGCTGCAGCGCATTCGGTACTAAGACGTCGCAAGAGGCTTAAAACCCGGTCTTGTCTTTCTCGGTATTACTCGGTCGCATATATGTGAACGGCGCTTAAGACCAAGAGAGACCGGACCCGTTTTAAGCCTCTTGCAATGCCTTAGAACCCGCTCCGCTGCAGCGCATTCGGTCCTAAGACGTCGAAAGATGCTTAAAAACCGGTCTCGTCTCTCTCGGTCTTACTCGGTCGCATGTATGTGAACAGCGCTTAAGACAGAGAGAGACCAGGCCGGTTTTTAAGCATCTTGCGATGTCTTAGGACCAGCTCCGCTGCAGCGCATTCGGTCCTAAGACGTCGCAAGAGGCTTAAAACCCGGTATGGTCTTTTTCGGTCTTACTCGGTCGCATATATGTGAACGGCGCTTAAGACCGAGAGAGACCAGACCAGTTTTTAAGCCTTCCGCGACGTCTTAGGAGCGAATGCGCTGCAGCGGACCTGGTCCTAAGACATCGATAGAGGCTTAAAACCCGGTCTGGTCTTTCTCGGTCTTACTGGGTCGCATTTATGTGAACGTAGCTTAAGACCGAGAGAGACCAGACCAGTTTTTTAAGCCTCTTGCGACGTCTTAGGACCAGCTCCGCTGCAGCGCATTTGGTACTAAGACGTCGCAAGAGGCTTAAAACCCGGTCTTGTCTTTCTCGGTATTACTCGGTCGCATATATGTGAACGGCGCTTAAGACCAAGAGAGACCGGACCCGTTTTAAGCCTCTTGCAATGCCTTAGAACCTGCTCCGCTGCAGCGCATTCGGTCCTAAGACGTCGCAAGATGCTTAAAAACCGGTCTCGTCTCTCTCGGTCTTACTCGGTCGCAAGTATGTGAGCAGCGCTTAAGACAGAGAGAGACCAGGCCGGTTTTTAAGCATCTTGCGATGTCTTAGGACCAGCTCCGCTGCAGCGCATTGGTCCTAAGACGTCGCAAGAGGCTTAAAACCCGGTATGGTCTTTTTCGGTCTTACTCGGTCGCATATATGTGAACGGCGCTTAAGACCGAGAGAGACCAGACCAGTTTTTAAGCCTTCCGCGACGTCTTAGGACCGAATGCGCTGCAGCGGACCTGGTCCTAAGACATCGATAGAGGCTTAAAACCCGGTCTGGTCTTTCTCGGTCTTACTGGGTCGCATTTATGTGAACGTAGCTTAAGACCGAGAGAGACCAGACCAGTTTTTAAGCCTTTTGCGTCGTCTTAGGACCAGCTCCGCTGCAGCGCATTCGGTACTAAGACGTCGCAAGAGGCTTAAAACCCGGTCTTGTCTTTCTCGGTATTACTCGGTCGCATATATGTGAACGGCACTTAAGACCAAGAAAGACCGGACCCGTTTTAAGCCTCTTGCAATGCCTTAGAACCCGCTCCGCTGCAGCGCATTCGGTCCTAAGACGTCGCAAGATGCTTAAAAACCGGTCTCGTCTCTCTCGGTCTTACTCGGTCACATGTATGTTAACAGCGCTTAAGACAGAGAGAGACCAGGCCGGTTTTTAAGCATCTTGCGATGTCTTAGGACCAGCTCCGCTGCAGCGCATTTGGTCCTAAGACGTCGCAAGAGGCTTAAAACCCGGTATGGTCTTTTTCGGTCTTACTCGGTCGCATATATGTGAACGGCGCTTAAGACCGAGAGAGACCAGACCAGTTTTTAAGCCTTCCGCGACGTCTTAGGAGCGAATGCGCTGCAGCGGACCTGGTCCTAAAACGCCGCAAGAGGCTTAAGAAACGGTCTGGTCTCTCTCGGTCTTAGTCGGTTGCATATGCGTGAACGGCGCTTGTATCTTCTATAATCTTGTGATGGGAGTATTATAATAGCCATATTTGGGTCACACAAAAGAGAGTACCATTTACTGGGGAGATCCTCCCTCCTCTCTCCTCTTGTGCTGGCCGTAAAGCTGTCCGGATGACGTCAGGTTCAAAGCATGTATAGGCTCCTTGCACTTACGTCACATCGCACACATTTGAACACCAAGTAAAAGGAGGAGAGTGAAGCTGCTTTTGTAAGAATTTTGAGTGACAGGTTAATCTTCTATAATCTTCTGGGAGGAGAATGGCGACGCGTGTGCAAATCCGGAAGGCAGAAAGGAGGATCCTGATAAGAGGGGAGCTCCTTCTTCCCCTCTTCTCTGGAGGGCAACGGAAATGACGTCCTGTGCAAGCCACGTATAGTTCTAGACGAGACAGTTGTCGTCACTACCTGTCAAGGTTCCTAGACGGGCGTTTCGAACGAGGCTCTAGCGCCATCCACCAGGTGCGGTTTGCTAATCGGTTAATTTGTTTTTAAATTTTTTTCGTGCCTTTTTTACCAAGGTATTGGTGTGTTCGATAGATACTGCTCCTTTGAACACTCGCTGACCAAAAACTGAGCGCCGAAATACTGTTGTAGTATCCCTTTAAAGGGAAACTTCAACGAAATTCGAAATATTCCCGTCGTGTTCAATAATAGGTTGAATATGATCCACAATATCCGTAAATGACAATCGCACGTTTGAATTTTGATCCTGGTGGCTGTATTTTTCGTTATAAACGGCCCACTCTGGCAAGCGCTCGGAGAAGGCCCAGCTAGAGCACATAACATCCAACGCAATCGTGACGCAGGTCGTCTCAAAACGAGCAAAGCTACGGCGAGGCTGACGTCGAGAGGATGGCCTAGTCGTTCCAGCCACCGAAGCGGCTGCTTTTGTACGAATTTTGAGTGACGAATAATCTTCTGTAATCTTCTAGGGGGACAATAGCGACTACTGCGACACACAAAAGCGATTCTCGGGAAGAGGGGAGTTCCTCCTTCCCCCCTTCTCTCGTCGTCGCCGGAGACGAGAAAACCTCCGTCACTAGCTGTCAAGGTTCCTAGACGAGCATTACAAACGAGGCGTTAGCGACATCCACCAGGTGCTCTTTGCTAATCGTTTAATTGGTTTTAAAATTCCTTTTCGAGACCTTTTTAACAAGATATTGGTATGTTCCATGTGATACTGCTCTTTTGAACACATATAGACCAAAAAATGAGCGCCGAAATTTCGTAGTAGTATCCCTTTAAGCTGTCACAGTCTATAAACGGTGTACTCTTTCGAAGCACGACCTCCCTAACATGCTGCATTGTACACCGCGCATTGTCTTAAAAAATATAGATGTAATATTTAATTAAAATAATTTCTCCCTTTTCGCTGAACTGGCCCATAAAAACGCTATGTTGAATTTACTTTCTCCGTCATTATTGTCAACGAAATAAAAAAATAGACAGCTTTCTTTGGTGTAATAAGAAGACGTTTCGCTGTTGAAGTTTGTGTTTTATATTTAATATTATTTGTTTCTTGCATATAATGACTGGCACAAGGGAACACTTAGTGAGATACACCGATATATTTTCAGCTACGTCGCTGAATGGACGTCCCGATGTAGACTCAAAAAGCCCGGATGGAAGAGAAGTTACGGCGCGTGACTCAGGTATGCGTTTATTTGAAACCTCAATTGGTCTATTGGTCACTGATGTTTAATGACGTGGGTCATAATTGTTGAACTCATGTTAAGTTAACTTTTTACGAAATATGTCAAGACAAAGGTATGCGAACAATAAAAAACCTAAGAAAAATGTGTTTTTTAAGTCTTCTGGTATTACAACATGAATTTCGAGCAAAACTTTCCAAGTATACCTAAGCACTTCTTATGAGTCATGAATGCGATTGCATTAATGTCGGTCTTCCGCTCAACTAGTTCGTCTGCGGCATGCATATTGGCGTATACGGCAACGTTTCACTACTGCCGAGGTTGCAGCCGACGACCGAGCACGCGCTCTTGTGAAACGGCCGCTTCGCAATGAGTTCGGCCGAGCAGCCTCTCCGTAGTCTGCCGGGGCGGGCTCTGCTGGCTCTGCGACCAGCCGCTCCCCCTTACTGCGCCGCCCTGGAGAGGGTTTCTCTGTTGGGTGGCGTTCCTTGGAACTACGCCATGCGGCAGTTATTGGGAGCCTCGTTGCTTGAAACTATGACGCGCCCCAGCCAATGGCAACCTATTCATCAAATCGCTGCTACAGACGATAGGCTTTGCTGTATTGGGACAGGGCAGTTTAGGTGCCGTTTGGTGCGGCTTCAAAAGCTGATAACGCCTTTTAACTATATGGGACCCCCCAGTTAAAGCTTTCGCATTAAAAGCACATAGTGGAGGGCAAAATACTCACTGGGAAAAAGTCAAGGTGCATGATGACCATGCGTAATTTTGCCTACGAGCGGGGCCAGGGGCGGTAGAATGACCACCCGGAACAACACATCAACAGCATGCAGCTGTCCTGCAGTTTTGGTCGTATAGAAAGAGATTGATCCACAAAACAAAAACGGTATATCTACCTTCTGCAGAAGTATGCTGCTTAGTTAGATCAACCTCACAACCACTGCACTTTAAGGTGGTTGACGCTTATTAGATCAGACACGACTTTCCCAATAAGAAAAGGGAATTTTCTTGGTCGCCTTTCTGACCGTGCATTTAGCGCGACTAAAAAAAAATGAAAGCCGTTTACGATTCCCTGTAACGCCGGTTAGAGCGCAGCTCTTGAGGAGGAAGATGGAAGCGTACTGAGGGATAGATGACTCCTTGAGGTCACGCGACCTCAAGGGGGTCACGTGACTTTAGGGGGTCACGTGACCTTAGGGGGTCACGTGACCTCAAGCGGGTTACGTGACTTCAGGGGGTGACCTCAGGGGGTCACGTGACCTCAAGGGGGTCACGTGACTTCAGGGGGTAACGTGACCTCAGGGGGCCACGTGACCTCAGCGGGTCACGTGACTTCTGGGGGTCACGTGACTTCTGGGGGTCACGTGACCTCGGGGGGGGGGGGTCATGTGACCTCGCGGTTACACCGACGGCGACGCCGACGCCGCTCAAGCCAGAAACGGGCCCTTAAGAGCTGCGGTCTAAAATCAAAGCCGTTTACAATTCCCTGTAACGACGGATTAGAGCGCAACTCTTGACTAGGAGGATGGAAGGGTACTGAGGGATAGGTGACTCCTTGAGGTCACGTGTCCTCAGGGGGGTGGTCTGACATCAGGGGCTCACGTGACCTCGAGGGGTCACGTGACCTCATGAGGGTCGTTTGACGTCACCCTATTGAAAATCGCTCTGAGGGGACTTCAGGAATTCTTTAAAGGGTGTGAAGGGGACTTCAGGAATTCTTGTGATGTTTGAAAGGTGCACCGATATTTCCTGGTGGGTTCATTGGCCTCGTCAGAGGCTCTCCTGAAATGCCTGAAGTGTCCTTTACAATGCCTTGAAATGTCTGAAAGCCTGTCAAGAACTTTTCTAATGGGGTCGGGAAAACCTTCAGGCTTCTTGAGATGTCTGTAGGGACACGGCCTAGGTGGAAAAAATACATGTCGCAGAATTAGAACATAGCTACGTATTGTTCAAAAAGGGAAAACAAATATTTATATGGAGAATGTTGATCGTATGTGTGTACGGTCAGTTTTTTTATTACTGCTCTTCTATCAAACACAACTGGGCTCCTCGACCCGTCTGTCACTGGCCGGGTGTTCGGTCGCCAAGGGGGCTACGGGTTTGATCGCCCTATGTAGAGAATTGACAAGGCGCGCCCTACTGAAAAAAAACCATTTGGCGCCCATATGAAAATAAACGGGTCCATACCGGTAACCGTTTAACCATACTGGTCACCAGTTTGTCAAAGGGGTCGCCCGTATGGCTCAAAGGGGTCCCCCGTATGAGCCATAACGGTCACCTATTTGGTAAACGGGTCGCTCGTCTGGGCAAATGGGCGACTCGTTTGGGCAAAGTTGTCGCACGTTTGCTCAAACCGGTGACCATGTTGCAAACTGCACCGGTTTAATCAAACGGCTCTCCGGAGCCCGTTTGATATTGAATGTACAGATCGGCGGCGTGGGCACGCCTAGCGTTTCAGCCGTGGCAGCCAATGTTTTCCGGAAGGCTGGGAGCGCCGGTTCATCGATTTCAGATCGTCCGCGTAATGCAAGTAATTATATTTATATTTCAATTACGATGATTTTCGATTATACTGCAACTAAAACTAACACCTTTTTTTTTGTTTTACGTAAACGCGCGACGTGGGTGAGCCGATATTTTTGACAGACCTTTAATACTTTGTCCATCTTTGTTGCCTCAATTTACTTATTCAGCTCGAATCTCTCTCGCAGAAGACGCGACCGCGTGAAAGAATGTACGTCTAGACTCCGTTTCACTTTAATTCAAGACGCAGCGAAGGTAGCACGCGTACACGCGGCTGCAAGAACATCGAGCATTGCGAGAGCACGCCCGCCGTTGCAGCACTCAAACTACGAGCTTGCGCTGAGTTCTTTCTTCGCTCGGGCGCAAGCCGAGCTTCTGGCAGCCCCGCCGCCATTTCCAAAGTTCGAGCGCGCGCGCGCGCGCGCGTTTGTTCTTCGGGACTACAAAAACGCATCTCCCTGGAATGCCTGGGGAGAGGGAGAGGGGCTGTCCCGGTGGTCCCAGCGCCCTCCCTCCTCTCTTGTCAGCCCTGTCACGTGACCCACAGCAGCGCGCGAGCTACACGCTGATAAGCATCGAGATCCGGAAGGGCGCGCCTTGCAGCCGCTTTTTTCTTTGTCTGCTTGTTGTCAGTTGCTGCTCGAAGTTCGCTCGTCCTACCTGCTTCAATCTGTCGCCTAACCCTGCGGTCTTATTGGGACGCCTCTCGACAACGTATTGGATGTGCACCAAAGCTATCAGTGTTCGAAATGACCCACGTGTATGTCGGCAACGAGCGATTCTTCAAAGAAGTCGCAAATTCTCGCGGTTTGGTTGGGTTCGGCAAATGACAGCTTGTGCGCCGCATCGTGTTGAAACTTCCAAGCAGCCGTTCCCTCTCGTTTGTGTTTGTGTGGTTGTCCTGCTTTGACTGTGTCGACAAATATCACGGATTACCTCGTTCAAGTCCGCTATTGTTATGGTAAGTGCACTGCAACCTACGTGTTGGCAACGATTGACCGTTCTTCTACGCGTACTCTTCTAAATTATCTAAAGAATTATGCAGCGCCTATTCGCGCGGCAGCCAGGAAAATAATTTCCCCGAAAGTCTACCTGTATAGTGTTCACAGATCGCTTGCACGTTTGTACTTGTCTACAGAAGAGGTAATAAACTTCGAGGAGAATTGAAAACAATCTTTTGTGTCGGTTTTCCTGTCCACTTACAAGCACCTACGCGAGTGCATTTGTTCTACGTGTTTTCTTTATGTTATAAATACGTTTATGAGTTTCGGGACGTCTTAAATATGTTTAAGATAACCAACGTCCCAGTCGATACCCATTTAGGGCTAGCGCATAATTTGCCATTTCGAAGGGCACGTTCAAACGTGTGGTCACGTGCCATGTCGAACGGGTACTCGTACCATACGGCACCCGTATCAAACGGGCACCTGTATCAAACGGGTACCGTTTCGAACGGGTACCGTTTCCAAACGGGTACCCGTATCCCATAATCACGTTTGATCCAAACGGATCGACAGGTTTGATTCAAACGGGCGACCAGTTTGCCACCCGTTTGAATTTCAAATGGTTTTTTTCAGTAGGGCGGGCCGAGCGGCGTTTTGAGGCGAACAAGCTTTACTTGTTGCACTAATAATAATAAAAAAGGGCAAGCCGAAAGCAGGCGCGTTGCCCAAATTCAGGGACGCTGCGCTGGGGAGGTTCCGAGGGCGAAGCGGCAGCGACTCGTGCCGGGAACCGGTTTCCCCGCGGGAGACGGTCCCCAAAAAAGGGGAAAAAAATAAACAAAACTATTTTGCTTTTCACCAGAGTCGGAACTCCTCTCTTTTCGCCGTCCCCAAAAACACGAACAGGCAACTCAAATCCCCCCCCCCCCCCCCCCCCCCTTTAACAATGCCTACACACACACTCTGCGGTTCTCTCCGCCCTGCAATGGGGAGAGGGTGCAATACCGCCAGTTCCGGACAGCCAATGGTCGGAGGGAGAGAGTGGTGTGAGGAAGCGGAAGAAGTCAGGAGGCCGCTATAGGGGGTATTCACTGGACGCCATATTTGAGGTAACTGCTCACAGCGCATGCCCGGAAAGAGTTTCCGGTCAGCTCTCGGGCAACCGCAAGAGAAGAGGGGAAGAAGAAATCCTCTTGTCACCGGGACTCTCCTTTGTGGGTCCCAGGCTTCCCCAAACGTCGCTATTCTCCCTCTAGAAGATTATAGAAGATTAACTTGCCACTCAAAATTCGTACAAAAGCATCTTTACCCTCTCTCTCTTCCCCCGTGGTCAGGAAGCAGCAGCGAGCTCAGCTATGACGGCCAGTGAATACTCCCTATAGCCATTTTCTTTTGCGCTCGTCGGCGGTTTGTTTCTTACCGACATGGAGATCTGGAACGGACCGTTTCCTACATCCAGAAAGGTAAGCACTGCTTTGAGGGCTCGCCCCTTGGTCTGTTTTAATCAGTGCCGTTTCTTCCTTGGTTCCGCAG